TGTGTGTGTGTGTGTGTGTGTGTGTGTGTGTGTGTGTGTGTGTGTGTGTGTGTGTGGAAACACCTGGTTATACATATATCTATAATTATATGCAGTAACTAAAGTTATACAACAAAGTTAGATAAGGACAACAATACAAAGAAGGTGGTGAGCCGAAGCTTCCCAGAATAGAATTAGGTAATAAAATGGAGCGAATCTGGATCCCGGAGATGGGAAGGTGCGTTTATGCCCTACTGGCCATAGAACACTACGGTTGTAAAACTTTAATTGGGGTAAGGTGTCCAAAGGTTGAGCAGGGAGCCAGAGTGTTGCATCGCAATGATGCAATTGCTGCTTATGTAATTTCTAATAAAAAGCCATAAATCATTATGTGACATATTATGTGATAAGCTGCTGAAGTAGATTCCAGCTAATTCATTTATGGATTTTTGCTTTCTCCTCGTAAAATCAGTTTGCGTAATGGCAATTCATTTTTGCTGATTTCAGCTAAAGCTTGCGCAAGATGATGGGATTATTGTGAATGACCACATGATGACTTCGGTGCCGGATGTTTATGCTTGCGGTGATGTGTGCACTGCAGGTTGGCCTTGGGCGAAACATTGGATACAAGTACATCTTTTATACAATTTTAAATTTTTGTAACTATTTTGAATTAGCTGGCAGGCATACTACATTCGTAAGTAGCGTTATTTTCGTGCTAAAATTCTAACGTTCGCTTCCACCACTGAAATTACGAAAATGTTTACGATTCTTTTTGTTTCGTTTGTAAATTCATGCGACAGCAAACCATCATCATTCTCCTTCTAAACAAACCTCAAAAAAGTGGGAGCCATCGGCAGCCTTGCCAATGGTTAGTTGCTTTTGGCATATGCTGCTACTTGGGCTTCTTCCAACTGTTTCCTCCTTTCTTGGAGAGTGAATAATGCAGTGATTTCTTTTACTGTATTTACCAGCCAAGTATATGGGTGTGAGACGCGGAGCACCATGCTTGCTCGAGAACGGGAATTGGCAGTCTCTCAAAGAGCGATGGAGCGACAGATGGTTGGCACCAACAGGCTACAGCACGTTCCAAATGAAGTGCTACGAGCCAAATCTGGCGTGAAAGATGTTATTGAAGCAATGTACGTAAAAAGAGGAGAAGGGCTGGTCATGTGGCACGAATGTCAGATAATAGATAGATGAAGCGGTTGATGGAATGGTATCCGCGCACAGTTAAGCGAAAACCGGGGAAGCCTCCAGTGAGGTGGGAGAGACCCCGTAGTACGCCTGTACGGTAGCGCGTGGACTCAGAGAGCGCAACAAATCGAGTGGAGAAGTTGCCAGCTGCATCGATGGCGTGACAGCGGACGTCGGTGAAATACAGCTGCTGAAGTATTCAAGTATGCTGACTGCCGCAAAATTCCAACCCAGGCATCTTTTCATGGTTTGAGATTGGTAACAGACTAAGTTGTGTTGGTGCGCGGCAAGATACGAATCCAGGCAGCTTTTTGTA